AACCGGAATAATTGAAATCAATGCTTTCAAATCCTTTTCAAAAACAAACCTCAAATTAAACCCATCCGAATTCTCCAATAGTGCTTTTCTTCTATCGCAGTTGAAGCAAACATGCGCTACAAAATTTTTCCATAATAAAATTTCTCATCATCGAATTTGAAAAACTAAGATGGGTTTTGGCGTAGAAGGCGTTTTTTTTGCACACATGAACTATTTAGTTTTTTAACAGACATGTAAATTTTTTGAAAGCATCCATGCCGTGCGTGGGCTGAGCATGCCAAATTTTCTCTCGTTATTACACTTGTCTAACAAACCGGTAAGAATCAAATGGTGGAAATAGAAGGCATCCAGACTTTTAAGATCTCTGGGGAGCGGTGTTTATTTTTTGTAACTGGAACTTTTGTTATTCTTAAAACACAATTGGCGAATCTTGAAATCATAGCATGTGATTGTTTTCTACTTACATAATGATAAATTTGACAAAAATTAGTTGCCCCTTGTTTTTTAAAAGAAAGAAAAAATGTTTGGTCTTTTGATCCCCTTTGAGTAAAAAACTTTTAAGTCTACTTGGGACCCTTCTTCTAATTTTTTGTTCGCCTGGCCATTTGCGAAACTGCCGCGGTATTGCGAGCTGCTCTGCTTGCTGACAAGTGTCGTGGTGGCTCAGGTTTAGACGGCAGGTCTTCATGGACCGGTCCAGGTGCTTTCAAAAAAAATTTTGGACCACAATTTTCCTAAAAAAAGTTGAGTTGTACGATTCAAGACTCACACACTCTTTTTGGATCTCAAATAAGTTAAATTCAAAAACGGCGGAACTCTTTTTATGTTCTTCAGGTCTCCCTGGTTTGAAAAAGTTGAACACTACTTTTAGTTTTTTCCAAAAGCAAAACTTCAATTTAAACCGGTCAAACTTCTCCAAATTTTCATTTCTTGTATCACAGCTGATGTAAAAAAAACGCTACAAAAATGTTACAAAAACGCTACAAACTTGAGAAAAAAAGTTTCAATGAAGGTTTTTTTGAAAAAGTTGGATAAACGTTGGCTTACAATGTGATTTTTTTTTGCGCGTAAATTGTATTGAAACTCATTGTCTCACAATTTTTTTGAAAGTATCCATGCAGTGCGTGGGCTGAATTTGCCAAACAGTCTAATAAGTTTTGTTTTTTTTTTCCCAAAGGCAAGCTTCGTGTAATTGAGATTTTAAGTTTTGTCTTGCAAACAACGTTTCTCTCTAACAAAAAACAATAAAGGGATTGTCTTTGATGCAGAATACGCTTACATTTCCCAAAGTACACAGTTTAGTCTCTTTATGTGGACTATTCAAACTTTGTCGGCTTGGTTGCCACATTACGGATTATTCTAGTGCTTTTAGCTAGTATAATGGTAGTTGTAAAAGCCGTTCGTGTTGTTTCAGGGGGATATGACGCCTATTCAATTTTTCTAAACATAAAATTTTTTTTCGTTGTCAACTGATATTTGCTCACAGCTTTTGGCTTTTTTGCGTCGTAAGTTTGGCTTTTGGCTTTTTTGTTTTCTTCCGCTGCTAATTTTAAGTGCAAATGCCTTGCTTAACATGTTTACGGGACAATTCTCGTCTTCTGATTCTTTTTGATTTTTCTCTTAAACTTACTCCCCAAGTCTGAGTTTGTGAGTTTTATGGAGTTGAGCTTAGGGGGAAGCTCCTGTGCATTAGCGGCCACACAAAAAAATGACCCGGTAAAAGTCAGAGTTTAGATTTTTTCGCCGTTTTTCTTGAACTTTTTCAAAAAAAAACTTGGCTTGCAGAAAATGTTTTGAGCTTTCTTCTTTTTCTTTGTTCGCCTTGTTTTTTTTGCAATTACCATGCCATTGCGAGGGGCTCAGCTTGCTGAAAAAGCAGCGTTTTCTCCGTCCTGTTGTGACTAGTCGTAATGAACTAGTCCAGGTATTTTCAACATTTTTCAGGGCTTTTCTGAAGAGTAATCGCTAAGTTGCATTGTCCGATTCAAGAATCCATCACGTTTTTTGGATCTCAAATAAGTTAAATCCAAAAACGGCGGAACCTTTTTTATGTTCTTCCAGTCATTCTGGGTTGGAATAGTTGAAAACTACTTTTATTTTGAAATCCAAAAACAAAACTCCAGTTTACACCGGTCAAATTTCTCGAATTGTGATTTTCCTGTATCGCAGCTGATGCAAAATAACGCTACAAAGTTTTTCATTAAAAAAAACTTGATCAATGTTATTTTGAAAATGTTGGATGGGACTGGCTTACAATGTGATTTTTTTGCGCGTAAATTGTATTGAAAAACATGTTGTCTCACAATTTTTTTTGAAAGTATTCATGCTGTGGGCTAAATTTGCCAAATTTTCTATTTATTTTTGTTATTTTTGCGAAAGTAAATTGATTCTTTTTGATTTTTCTCTTAAGCTTACTCCCCAAGTCTGAGTTTGTGAGTTTTATGGAGTTAAGCTTAGGGGGAAGCTCCTGTGCATTAGCAGCCACACAAAAAACTTGACTAGGGAAAAGTCAAAGTTTTGATTTTTTTCATTGTTTTTCTTAAACTTTAAAAAAAAACGCTTGTCGCGCAGAAAATGCTTAGACTTTTCTTCTTTTTTTTGTTGGCCTTGCTTTTTCGGAAAATTTTGGTAAGAAATTTGGGAGAACTTTTTCGGAGAAAGAGTTGGGAGAGCTCGGAAAACCTTATAAACTTTTTAAAAATCCCCCCTCCCATCCACTCCTCGAGAAAATCCTAGATCATCCCCTGGCTCTTTGTGAACAAACATAAAAAGTTTTTTGATCATAAATAGGCACTAGCAAACGTTCAAAAAACAGCAAGATACTCAACAGTAGAAAAAACTATTGAGTGCGCAATAGTGCACTTAATTTGACTGACTTGCGTGAGATTAAATTAGCTGGTGTAAGTAGATTTTAATCTGTTTGTGATAAATAGTTAAACCTTTTCGATATGGTCAGATAAGTTTTTCATTAGATAAATTGCAATATCTCTCATCCTATATTGGACAACGATGATGGATTCGTTTTAACTTTATTCTTTCTCATCGATGAAGCTTTAAAAAGCTGAGAGGTCTCAGATATCATTTTCAAACAACCTAATAGCTTTCGAATCTATCAAAAAAATTAACATTGAAAACCCTGTGATGATGGAGTTTTTATTAAAATTCAGTGATTGTCTGCTACAAACCTTTGAACTGACACATGACACTGGAAACTTCCCTGTTATGTAACTGCACCCAATATGGCTCAAGAATAAAACATCTTTATCAATACAAAGGCTATCAATATCTTGAGATGTTTTAAAATGGTTTGAAGCCGTTGGTTAGATTAAAACTAAGAACGCGCTAAAAACAGATACCTGTATGTGACAGCACAAGTGACCTTTGTCAGTATCCTCAATCGTTTTTACAGCGTGTGAAATGTCGAAAAAATCATTCAGCCTGAAATATTGAGTTATTGCATTAGCAATTAAGAATACCAATGATAACTTTTTATTAATTTTAGTGTCTCGTATTGTATATATTTTTCTTCCTAATTGATATTCTTCTAAATTTTTGACCATTTTGACACATTTTTGTAGCCTTTGCTTGGTTATCTATGTGCTTTAGGGGATGAGCAAATTGTGAAAACTTCTTTACTCAAGACAGGTTCAATTTTGAAGTTTACGACATCGAAATTTTATTGTTTCTTTTTTTTAGCTGGCACGTTTTCGACGCATGAACGCCTCTGTTGTTTAATTGTCCAATCATTTAACCTGCTTATATTGCCGGTAGAGTCAATGTTCCGAGCCAGCGGCTAAAGTCTAAGTCACCTTTGATAAATTGATTGTTTTCATTCGAAACTACTAAATCTTTCCTTTACTTTATTCATCCTCACAACCTATCTAGATACCCCATTACTTAACGACGTACAAGTTGGAGACCCATTAACGCCGGTTCCAATTTCCTGCCTGCCAATATTGCTAAAAAACTTCAAAAATTTGACTAAATCTGAGGCCAAAACTACTTTCTATTCAATCATTCATTGGTCGTCCTAAAAAATCAACCTCAAAATAGAACTAAATTGTTTCCTTTATTGCTCTCAGATCCCTCGAAACATGCAAAAAGTTACCTCAATCATAGCGTTGTGCCTCCTGACCTTGATACTATCCGTGAGATGTGGCAATCGCCTGTAAGTATCAACCATTTGAATAATCATCAGCCAACTCAGTCTTAAGAACAATTTCAACGAGTTATTAGATCATCACTGGTTGATAAATCACCATTAAAAACTAGTGTAAAACTTAATTCAGCGATAAATAAGTGATGGTTCATTGTACCGAGTAAGCAAAGAATTAGCGAGGAGAAGCCAAATTTTCGGCCAGCAAAAATCAAACGCTGTCCAGGTCAATCCAATCATAGTGAAAGACTTGCATAAATCTTACAGATTCTTGAAAAATCATTAAAAAGAGCAAAGAATCTTCAAAATAGTTTCGGTCTGTTAAAAGAGAGTGAACCGATCTAATTACATAAGCATATCAGAAGTGTGCTTGAAGTCTCTCCACTTCGACAGATCAAGTTGAAAATTTTTTGAAATCTTGAGAAGACTTTCAAGTTTTTCAATTTATTTGAAAAACCATGAAATTTTTAAAAGGTATATAGGAAAAATAGATTATGTTTTTAAAAAACACTTCTTTACAATTAACGAGCAAAAAGATTCTCAAGGTTCTTCAAAAATCCAATATCAACATCAACATCAACAGCAACTTTCAAAACCAAATTTTCTTCATAAATTTAATTTAATTTAGAAGTGTCCAAATAAATTATCCAAAATTAGATTTTTGTTCCGACTTTCGATACGAAAGTAACGGAATATTTGTGCTCGGGGTGGGTTTTTTTTCTTCAGACAAATTTCGACTTTTTAACTAGCCATTTTTGACGGAATTTTAAAAAATCATTCAAAAGATATTGTTGTCCTGAGCTCAAATTTGAAAAGATATTTCACCTGTGATCTTTTTTCATAAAGTAATGGGGGTTTAAAGATTGCCATTTTGGCCAATTTGGGACAACTAACGCGAGAATCGTTCCAAATTGGTTGAAAGAAGGATATTTGCCTAATTGATTTGTTACAAGGAGCGAAATCTATCCTTTTGTTCTTTATATGGCGTGTGGGGTGATGATTTTTATTTAAAAAAATCCAATTTTTAGAAAAAAAAATTCATTTTATTTTTTTTATTTTTTTATTTTTTAATGTATTACTGCTCCATAAAGCTTGAAAAGGCAGTTGTAACATTCAGGGCTTCACCCTGATACGAGCAGTCTTGTTTGTTTTTGTCTCCATCTATCTAAGACCCAAAATTGAACTTTGATCCCAATTGTTGCCAGATCAAATGAGCATCAATTATCCTATTGTGAGAAATTGATAGATTGAAGAATCATGTTTCTGTGAACTTTGAGTAATTGGTTTTTGATGAATAACAGAATCGACAAAAAATTACTTTTTGAAGACTTTTTCTCCATCTGTTTAGAAAACATAGGAAACTCAGCTGTTTCAAATTATTTATTCGTTTTTTTTCTATATTTCTTTCAAATCTTAAATTCATCTTAAGAAATTGTTCAAAAATTTTTTCAAGCTGATTTATTTGAGTGTTTTTATTGACGAGTGAGCGCTTTCATTGTTCCGACTTTCGATAAGAAAGTAACGGAATATTTGTGCTCGGGGTGGGTTTTTTTTTCTTCAGACAAATTTCGACTTTTTAACTAGCCATTTTTGACGGAACTTTTTATATCATTCAAAAGGTAATGTTGTGCTGAGCTTAAATTTGAAAAGATATTTTACCTGCGATTATTTTTCGTAAAGTTATGAGGGTTCAAAGATTGCCATTTTGACCAATTTGGACAATTAACGCGCAATATAATCCGCGCTATTAACGCGTAAGCGAGATTTAATCCGTCATATAAACCGTTCCAAATTGGTTGAATGAAGCTTATTTGCCATAATTGATTTGAATGATTTGTTACAAGGAACGAAATCTATCTTTTTGTACTTTATATGGCGTGTGGGGGGATGATTTTCATTAAAAAAATCGAATTTTAGAAAAAAAAAATTCCTTTTATTTTATTTCATTTAATTTTTTTTATGTATTACTGCTGCGCAATAAACCTTAAAATGCAGTCGGAACATTCAGGGCTTCGCCCTGAAACGAGCAGTCTTGTTTACTATTTGTTATCATAGTCTTTTTCTACGGTTCTTTTTTCATACTTTTCACATACAACATTGTGATGAAGACTGACTAGAACGAAATAGTTTAAGTCGCTGAAATAATTAAGTACACATAATAGCGACTTGTGTTAGAAAACTATTAATTTATCACTAAATAAATATCACTAGTAACCTATCAATCAAAAATTATATAAATTAAGCTCAGGTCAATTTTTTAGTTCTAAGCTCAGGGCAACAAAACCTTTTGAATGATACAAATAAAAATCCGTCAAAAATGGCTTGTTGAAAAGACGAAATTGTTTATCTGAAGGACGAAAACTAACCCGGGGACAAATATTCTGTAATTTTCGTTATAAAAGTCAGAACAAAATTATCTCAAACAAAACATATCAGGCATAGTCGCAAAAGCATTGCATACTTTATTGTTCCAAAATTCCAATTTAGTACCAGACTAAACGATGCAGCAGCCTTACTGCTCAGTTTGACAAATCAATTCTTGTAGATGTCAATTGAGATAAACTTATAATTATGAAGAGAGTTGAGAGCAGCTCGAATTAACACGAAAGTTTCCTAAATGCTTCCCATTAGTTTTCCTTATACAGTTTTCAAACAGTTCATACGGCTTTAAAACCTTTTGGACCAATTTATAACGTCGAGATTTGCTTCATACTCTTGCATCTATGACCAGAATTTTATTATTTTGAAGAATTGTATGAGTGTTGCAATTCTTTTACTAATGGAAGAAAATTCGAAAACAAAAAAGAAACTTTTCTTCGAATATGTTTTGTGTTAAAAAACAAAAAATGTTTTTGGAGATGGCAGATTTAACAAATTAAGAAAAAAAACGATATATAAACCCTAGAAAATAAATATGATTGCTTAATACAGGCGTTGCAACTTAAAGTAGTAGGCTTCAATATCTGCTTTTCTGGTCAAGGTTATTGCCAAAAAACGTACACAACTTCAAAACTCAAGTTATACTTCTTAAATTAACTTTAAAAAAGTTAATTTCAACCAATAACTTTATTTAAAACTATTTTCAAAATTTTGAATTTGATTTCATTCTTGAATAACAGAGCTGAACATATTTTATATTGAAAAACGCTAGATAGAATATCTGTTTGAAATGTAACATGGTGCAATGTTTGATTTAGAGAAATTGAAATTTGAAAGTTGGTTTCTAGCCCAAAGTTAGTTCGATTGTAAGTCCAAATAGACTGCTTGCATCCGTCTGCCTTTTCAGGTCTTGAGCAGTAATAACAAGAGAAAAATAGGGTAAATAATTAATAAAACGTTAAAGTTTGAGATTTTTTGTGAAACTCATCCCCGGCACGCCATATAAATACAAAGAGATAATTTTTGCTCCAATGAACAAATCAATTATGGTAAATTAGCTTCCTTAACCAAATTGGAGCGTTTTCTAAGACTGATTGAATCTCCCTTTACGCGTTGATAGCGCGAAAGACATCGCGCTCAAAATTTCCCAACTTGGCTAAAATAGTAATATACAAACTTAATAAAAACTGATCACATGTGAAATATCTCTTCAAGTTAAAGCGCAGGATAACAATATCTTTTAAATGATATAAAAAAATTCCATCGAAAATGGCTAGACAATAAATCGAACTCTAACTGAAAAAAAAATCAACCCGGGTACAATTATTCTGTAATTTTTGTTAAAAAAAGTCGGATCAAAGGTATCTCAAACACAACATTTTCAGGCTTAATCGGAAATGCAATGTATACTTTATTGTTCCGAGTTTCCAATTTAGTTCCAAACTAAACAATGCAGCAACTTTATTGCTCAATTTGTCAAATCAAATCCTGTACATGGCAGTTGAGTTTGGCTGATAATTACGAAGAAAGCTGAGAGCAGCTCGGATTAACACAAAAAAATGCTAAATGCTTGTCATTACTTTTCCGTAAACAGTTTTCAACAGTTATTACGACTTAAAATTTTTTGGACCAACTCATAACATCAAGACTTGCTTCATACTCTTGAATTTATGAAGAAAATTTTATTTTTCCGAAGAACTGTGTGACTGTTGCAAACCTTTTACAAATAGAAAAAAAACTAAAAACGATTTCTTTTCAAATTCGTTTTTTGATTCAAAAAGAAAAATTGTTTTGGGAGATGATAGACTGAAAAATTTATTAGAAAAAATGATGTACAAACTCCAGAAAGTAAAAATGATTTCCGAACACAAACGTTGTAATCTAAAGTAGTAGGCTTTAAACTCAAGTTTATTGCCAAAAAACGTGAACAATTTCAAAATTCATTTTCACACTTTTAGTAATAACTTTTAAAAAATTTCATCTCAACCAAAAATTTTTTTTTTTCAAAGTTCAACTCAAATTTTCGAATAAGATTTCGTTCTTAAATAAAAAAACTAAAACCTACATTTGAAAACGATAAAAGATTGATAGGTTTGCGATAAAAGATTGATTAAAAAGGTTTGCAATTATTAAATCTCATTACGAGCCAAACTGTGCAATCTGTGCATTGTAAACGGATTCCGGGTCAAAATCAAATTTTTCGCGGAATCCGCAACATTGCTACGTTTCTTTGATCTTCTTTGCTGTTTTGGATTCAAAAAGTTAAAACCTTGTACCGCTCAAAGTCGCTCCAATATTAGGCAAATTTGCGAAATCGGCAACTGTGTTTGCGGAATCCAAAATAATTCGTGGTATCCACAAACAAATACTAAGACAATTCTATAGTTACAATGAGCTGTTGCGGAATTCGCAACTAAGTGGAATCCGCTAATTAAAAGTGCAATCCGCATTTTTTTATATTTTCCATTTATATTTGGGGTATCCACTTAAATTTTGCGGATTCCACTTACACTTTGCAGAATTACAAACAGTCGCGGATTCCATAACAACTAGCTATATTCGCGTGTTGCGGAATCCGCAACAAAACAAATATGCCGACAAATATTACGTTACACCTATTTGTACGCGGAAAC